GGCCGCGCCCATCACGGACACGCAGGTAGCGCACGCGAGACTGCAAAAGGCTGGTCACCGGCCTTTAGGTAGTATGTTCTCTCTCTCTCTCTCTATCTTTCCTCGCCACCCTTCGAGCGTTCCACCGGCGTTCGTACGACCGTCCGTTTGTCGTTGCCTCCTTGTCCACAGGTAGAACCCAATCCGCGCCGCTACCTCTGGGTCATCCGATGCTGCAAGGTGGCATGATAGCGCCGCAAACCCACTACGAAGAGTACCTGGCCGAGAAACAGCTCCACGATCAACAACAAGCGCACAACTACCTGAAACAACAGATCCGTCAAACGGTGTTGACACGGGTCGGCTCCCGTGGTCAGACCAACCAGTTGGACGAGGCTCCCGAGTCCGAAGAGTCCGAGGTGATCGATCTGACTGGCGGGAAGAAAGATCACTCGTCGGAGGAGAGCGAGATTTCCAAACAGCAACGGGATCGGGAGCAATTTCTTCAGCAACAGAGGGATCTGATGATGAGGCATACTTTGCAAATCTCGAACGAGTCGTCCGCGGCCTACGGTGGAAGCAGGAGCGGTCAGGCCAGTGCCAGACCGTTGTCCAGAGCGCTCTCGAGCCCGTTGGTTCATCTGGGTAGGAGAACGTTTCTTCTAGAGATATTGTGTGCGAATATACTTTGCCTAATTGACTCTCCGTATCAATAGGTCCTCAAGCAACCGGTGAGCTATTCGCGCGAACCTCCTCCTCTCATCGACCCACCACCGGTTTGGCCTACGATCCACTGATGCTGAAACACGCGTGCGACTGCGGCGAAACTGTACGGGGTCATCCCGAGCACGGCGGCAGGCTGCAGAGCGTCTGGGCCCGGCTGTCCGAGACCGGCTTGCTACAGAGGTGCGATCGAATACGATCGCGCAAAGCCACCCTCGAGGAGATTCAAACGTGTCACAGCGAAGCTCACGCTCTTCTCTTCGGTGAGTCGACTCCGCGCAATCGGCTCTCTACCGCCCTACCTCGCCCTCCTCCCTACTCTATGGCATAACCCTTATTTTGCCGTGTCGCGTCGCGCCGCGCCGCGTCGCTATCTTCCATCCGTTCGCGGTCGGACAGACGGACAGACAGAAAGTAAGGTGTGCTTCGCGCAGGAACGAATCCGATGAATCGGCAAAAGTTGGACGTGTCGAAGCTCTCTCAGCTGCCCATCAAGAGTTTCGTGCGACTGCCTTGCGGCGGCATCGGCGTCGATTCCGACACCACGTGGAACGAATTGAATACCGCGCCAGCCGCCAGAATGGCCGTCGGTTGCGTGGTCGACCTCGCGAAACAACAGATCCGTCAAACGGTGTTGACACGGGTCGGCTCCCGTGGTCAGACCAACCAGTTGGACGAGGCTCCCGAGTCCGAAGAGTCCGAGGTGATCGATCTGACTGGCGGGAAGAAAGATCACTCGTCGGAGGAGAGCGAGATTTCCAAACAGCAACGGGATCGGGAGCAATTTCTTCAGCAACAGAGGGATCTGATGATGAGGCATACTTTGCAAATCTCGAACGAGTCGTCCGCGGCCTACGGTGGAAGCAGGAGCGGTCAGGCCAGTGCCAGACCGTTGTCCAGAGCGCTCTCGAGCCCGTTGGTTCATCTGGGTAGGAGAACGTTTCTTCTAGAGATATTGTGTGCGAATATACTTTGCCTAATTGACTCTCCGTATCAATAGGTCCTCAAGCAACCGGTGAGCTATTCGCGCGAACCTCCTCCTCTCATCGACCCACCACCGGTTTGGCCTACGATCCACTGATGCTGAAACACGCGTGCGACTGCGGCGAAACTGTACGGGGTCATCCCGAGCACGGCGGCAGGCTGCAGAGCGTCTGGGCCCGGCTGTCCGAGACCGGCTTGCTACAGAGGTGCGATCGAATACGATCGCGCAAAGCCACCCTCGAGGAGATTCAAACGTGTCACAGCGAAGCTCACGCTCTTCTCTTCGGTGAGTCGACTCCGCGCAATCGGCTCTCTACCGCCCTACCTCGCCCTCCTCCCTACTCTATGGCATAACCCTTATTTTGCCGTGTCGCGTCGCGCCGCGCCGCGTCGCTATCTTCCATCCGTTCGCGGTCGGACAGACGGACAGACAGAAAGTAAGGTGTGCTTCGCGCAGGAACGAATCCGATGAATCGGCAAAAGTTGGACGTGTCGAAGCTCTCTCAGCTGCCCATCAAGAGTTTCGTGCGACTGCCTTGCGGCGGCATCGGCGTCGATTCCGACACCACGTGGAACGAATTGAATACCGCGCCAGCCGCCAGAATGGCCGTCGGTTGCGTGGTCGACCTCGCCTTCAAAACCGCCATGGGCGACATTAAGAACGGTTTCGCCGTCGTTCGACCACCGGGCCATCACGCCGAAACCAATCAAGCCATGGGATTCTGCTTCTTCAACTCGGTCGCGATCGCCGCGCGATTGCTTCAACAGAAGCTCGACGTTCGGAAAATTATGATTTTGGATTGGGTAAGAGACCCCTTCTACTTCTTCTGCTTCTTTTTATTCTTCGTCTTCTTCTACTTTTTCCTATTCCTAGTCGACATCTTTCTGTCCTTCCTTCCCTTTCTCGATGCTTCGCCGCTCGAACGGGTTAATGTAATAAGAGTCACCATGACGCGTGTACCCAGAGTCCGTTCGTTTTTCCTTTAGGACGTCCACCATGGGAACGGAACGCAGCAAATGTTTTACGACGACCCGCGAGTGTTGTATCTGTCGATACACAGGCACGACGAAGGTAACTTTTTCCCGGGCACTGGAGGACCAACCGAGTGCGGAGCCGGCGAAGGTTTAGGATACAACGTGAACGTCGCGTGGTCCGGCGGCTTGAATCCACCTATGGGAGACGCCGAGTACCTCGCCGCATTTCGCACTGTCGTCATGCCCATCGCGAGGGCGTTCGACCCGAGTATCGTACTCGTCTCCGCCGGTTTCGACGCCGCGGTTGGACACCCGGCTCCTCTCGGCGGTTACAAAGTTAGCCCGGCATGTTTCGGAAAGATGACCCAACAGCTGCTCGGTCTGGCCAACGGCAAGGTCGTCTTAGCTCTTGAAGGCGGCTACGACCTCGCCGCCATCTGCGATTCCGCCCAAGAGTGCGTCCGAGCTCTCCTCGGGGATGAACCCAGTCAACTTCGGGATGAGGAGTTGACCAGGGCGCCTTGTCAGAACGCCATCGACACGCTGCAGAAGACTATCGCCGTTCAGGTGCGGTAGAACATATTTGTACACGTAATCATTAAAAATTTGAATAATTTATGAGTGTACACTAGCTGTAAATCATTACAGCTGACGCGTCGGAATATCTCCGACGCTGTTTGTTACCGTTAGTTCATTCATGCTGTGGTTATAACTATTAATCTTTGAGTAGATGCCGCATTGGCCTTGCGTGAAGCTGAACGCGCACACAGCGCCGATGAGCGCCATTGAAGCCGGCCAGAAGGAACGCGACGAATCCGAGACAGTCTCCGCGATGGCCTCCCTGTCAATGCAGCAGCCTACCAATTTAACGTGAGTGTTTGCTCATACTATTTCTACCCTGGATCAGACAATATGTGACTCAACTTTTCTTTGCAGGACTACCCCAGAACATTCCCGCGAAGTTTCCGAAGAGCCGATGGAACAAGACGACGCCAAATGAAAGCGGAGCTTTTCGTTGCGCGGTGGTACGCGCGATTCGCTTTGGAGACTGTCTTTGCCGTCGTCGTCGTCGCAAAATGATCGTCGTCCCGTTCGCGTCGCGTCCTGAGACGGGAATATGCGACCGTACGTCGGTTACGAAACTGCTGCCGCGTCGATAGATCTTGAGCCTCTTTCGCTTTTCCTCTCGGTTGCCTTCTTTGTAATTCTAAAAGAAATTTGGGTTGAACGCAAAACTGTAAACGATTGTTATTTCGTTAGTGTGACGTTCTTGACGTTTCATTGAACAACGGAGGAAGAGTAATTGAGAGAGAAAAGGGAAGATACGGCGATTAACGAGAAATCTCGAGCAGCATATTTTGGTTGTTTCGTTGCGAACAAAGGCTGGTGTGATTTTTGTGATATTTTGTAAGAAAAAAAACGAAAGAAGAAATTGACGAAATACACTTAGTCGAAGGTGTAAACGCACCGCTATGAGTATGGCAGAATGAATGAGCGAGTGAGAGAATATGTACACCCCTTAACACGTACACTTACACACATACACACACACACACACACACATACACGATTGAAATACGAGCATTTATTTTTGTGTCGTGCATTTTATGAGAACATGAAATTTCAGCGAATCTGTCGATCGACGAACGATTTCCACAGATTCCGTTCGCTCGCGTTCGACACAAGTTGGCACGCAAAGACTTTTGCGTACTGCGCGAGGGGAGAATAAGCGCGCGGTTACGCGTATCAAGTACAAGACATACGTGTACGTCGTACGTTGTGTCCGCAAGAATCTCAAGTGTTCGTCGAGTGTTTCGTCCTGTATTTTTACCAAAAATTTACGAAAACGAGCGCGAAACGTTTTCGGTCGACTCGTGTTCGCGAACTCGGATCTTCCCGTTCTCCTATTTCCGTTTTCTCGCGTCTTGCCAATTTCGACGTCGTCCCGCTCCTCCTCCCCGTTCCCTTCGCGTCACGACCCGACCGAATTATCAGTTTTTGTCATCGTCGCCGTTGTCGTCAGCGGTCGTTCGGAAAATCGTTGACGTTTTTGCGAGAGTTTCATTCGTTTCGAGCAAAAGGAAACTTGCAACATTCCGGTGTATCGTTCGAAGCCAATCGATACAAATTAGATGTAAATCGTTGACTCGCATCGAATAGCCGATTAACGAAACAAGATTAGGTGAAATGGAATCAAAGATTCTGCGAAAAATATGAGGAAAAAAAAAACATGATTAAAAAACGAAAAGAATGAACGAGAACAAAAAAGTTGCGATTACGTTATTGCACGCGTACGAAATATGTCCATACTGCGTAAGCTTAAATGTATTAGTCATACATTTTTTATGTATATAAATGTACCTCGTAATTTCAAATAAAACGTATAGTCATTGTGTTACGCGTAACGTTAACCGGCAGCATTTGTGCCCGTATCTTCATAAATAACGAGCCTTATTGCGCAATTTACGTTTCAGTGACCGTTGGAACGTTAGAACGTAAGTAAATATATTTTTATAGTCAAATTTATCTTCCATGTTTATTTTTGATGAGATATTCTATTATGTAGTAATCGATAAAAAGTTAAAAACATTTTGTAATCTTTTTTAATAATACTTGTTTGCTATTATGTCACTCCCTATATCGCCGGCGAGTTACAGTATGGTGCGAATTTGTTCTGAGCATATAATTATTGTTTTTGGATCCATGGAATGTATTGCAGACAGCAGGAAATCAGTATTAATAAATATATAGCGTAATAATCAATAAAAACACTATTAATTGAATTAAAAAAAATTTTGTAAGGTATTTAATTTAAATAAAGAGAATTTTGAAAGTCTCACGTGTGTTTTAAAATTCATATTTACGCGCGCTTTTTCCAAGAGTATCTGATGACGTCATTCTGATGGATTTTAACAACCACAGCCATCTAGCGAAAGGTGGGTACTTATAAAACTAAATTTTGGATATAATTTTTGTATTAATTCACTTTTTTGACTTATTAAGGGCTGGAAAATATTCTAAAGGTAATTTGTAGAGAATTTTAAGTCATATTATTATATAATAAGCTAGAAAAATGAATATTTTGAAGGGGTGGTATAAAAATAGTACTGGTGGCGCCATCTCTCCGGCGAACAGGGTGAACTACACACTTTTGAAACAGCACTTTAATTAGTTCTATTGTTTGCCACTAGACGGCGCCACAGGTACAAGTAGCGCTCTCTGGTGGCAGAAAATGGAACTAATTGAAGTGCTGTTTCAAAAGTGTGTAGTTCACCCTGTTCGCCGGAGAGATGGCGCCACCAGTACTATTTTTATACCACCCCTTCAAAATATTCATTTTTCTAGCTTATTATATAATAATATGACTTAAAATTCTCTACAAATTACCTTTAGAATATTTTCCAGCCCTTAATAAGTCAAAAAAGTGAATTAATACAAAAATTATATCCAAAATTTAGTTTTATAAGTACCCACCTTTCGCTAGATGGCTGTGGTTGTTAAAATCCATCAGAATGACGTCATCAGATACTCTTGGAAAAAGCGCGCGTAAATATGAATTTTAAAACACACGTGAGACTTTCAAAATTCTCTTTATTTAAATTAAATACCTTACAAATAAATTGTTTACATATTTTATAAAAATGCATTAACTTAGGCAAGTATAAAATCAGTATAAAGAATAAAAAAAATATAAATGAAAAGAACAAAAAATTGCACTTGCACAAATAAAACTTCCTTGTAATAAAACTTGCCTAGTAATTTGAAGACTAGAAGAGTCTGTAATCTAAAGGGTTTGGGCAAAATGAGGGGAGCCCCTCTCAGACGCCATCTTATGTGAGAAAATAAAATACAATACAATACAGTAATCTAAAGGACTAAATGTACCTATATATTAATGTTTCAAGAAGAGAAAAGCTCTGTCGACGAGCGTCGATCGATGAATGAACAAATGTTCCTCTTACAAGCCATTAGCGTTATCAAACGATCCCAGTAATTTCGTTAATCATCGATCGAGTAGGCGTGTACTCGTTGCGTGCGCGCAAGAACGATTCCTGTTGCATCGCTTAAAATCAACTCGACCTAACACTGTAATTACATACACAACGCGTTGTCATTTCCGCACACGGTTCGAGTAACGTTACCTTCTGGACTCTAGAGGAAAACTCGTATTTATTGTGCCGTTAGATGGCCATTCGAGGAACGCAAGTTTCTCTGCCAGTCTCGAAGGAGTAGTTGCGCGAACATCTCATATTTCCTTAGGTCAACGGACAAGAAACATCAGGACTTCTGTTTCACAGAACCACGTAAGAGGACGCTTGGTGCTTATAGGTTCTACATATTCAGTTGAATTATGTAATTGTAAGAAAATAAAAGATGAAACGCAAAAAAGAACTATGTATGTTCTATACAAGTTATTTGTTCAATAAGTATATGTACTTGTATAGAAACTACAGTAGCAAGGTAACAGTAAGTAGCAAGAACTTTAAACATATATGTTTCATAAGTTTACTATTCCTATTTTCATTATTATACATTATATGCAGTAATACTTATGATATAATTATATGTTTATGCTTCTCTTGATATAAGTATATGCTTATGAATATACTTCATTATTTATATACAATCTAAGAGACAGAATGTCAGTTTCAATATCATAGCGTCATCATAATGGTTACCCAGATACTTGTGGTTTGGCCACACACATTTTTTACCGTGCCAGATTAAATGATCGAACGACAGAGATAATACAGTCGCGTGTTTTAACTATAAAGTAGTCGAGTAGCTGTCAATCGCGCGTTATCTACCGTAACAGATAACGTAAGCGTAGTACATTTTAGTAAGTAAACACGAGGGTAAGCAAAAGATACACGGTAAACAGTTTCGAGTGGCCATATAACGAGTCCCTACTCTTCCCTGCCTCGGCCATCTTCTGTTACAAACTAATCAAGAAAATGCACTTTTATTCGATTCAATTAGAAACAGAGAGTCGTAAAGAGAGATCAAAATGGCAGAAATGGAAGTTCGGTGTCTTACGGTGTTTTACGACCGTTAAGAGGTTACGTTTGTTACTATAATACGTTTTCTCTCAGTAATTTGATAAGATGGCAGCATGGTCGGTACAAGATCGGTGGGAAGAATTAAAATGGAGGAAACAGTGGTCCCTGATTTTAGGCGGGAACGCAGGCAACAGGTACCGACACCGGCTTCAGCTGCCACTTCCGCTTCAGAAACTCCGGCAACGGTGTCTCCGGTATCTCGTCGTCGCCCGAGAACCACTTCGATGGCACGTTGGTCTCTCGTGGTCTCAGTATATGCACCTACAAAACAATCAACTTGATGAAAGTACTCGAGTGCGAAGTCGTTAACCTTACCATGTAGTACAGTATCTTGCAAGGATGGAATTTGTTCTGACACGTTTTCGGCTTGCAGTACGACACGGTCAGATACCTCGGGTAATGGTCGTCACCCAGATCGCGCACTTCGTACTGCGATTCGCAGGAACAGAAGGACTGTTAAGGGAATTTTAAGATTATTACGATCGTCTGAAACAATTGCACTAAGACGTACCCTGGTTTGAACGCGTCTCACGTCGGCTGGAGAGGACTCGTGTTTGATGTCGATCCACCTGCGCTGCTCCAGCATCGGTTGATCGAGTAGCAGCAGCAATTCTTTCTCCTGTTTGATCCTGGTTCGATAGTACAGCCAACGAACCTCTTCGGCTTGTCTAACCGCGTCTTCGAACCAGTCTTGCCATCGTTGACGGACGATAGATTCGCCAAGTTGCAATTGACAGAACACCATAATCTGGAATAAAACAAATGATCAGAGTGGGGATACAAGAGGCGAAACTCGACAAGGAAATTCACTGGTGAAGATCAATTTAAATGCCAAAGTCAAATGAATCGGGAGAGCACGATTTCGGCGCAATATTTCGAAACGCGCATGCGCAGAATGTACAATATGGTGGTCGAAAATTAATAATTAACATCGCCACATTTACCAGTAATTTATTTTGACACTTCTCTGTAACACATTCATCTGTAAAATTGATGTAAATACTTCGAAGTTAATATTAATAATTATTTAAGAAAATTGATATGAAATTACATTTACTTGATTTAAATTTCCCGCTCGTTTACACAACTAATTTAAAGGGACATTTTCTAGAGAACAAGGTGTCAACAGAGAGCTTGTATCCCTACTCTAACGTTCTGATACTTACATACGCTAGCAGCATCTTCATCTTTCGGATTCCAACAAGACTCGATAAAATTTTGCTGGAGTTAATAAAGATGCTGCGTTCCTCCCGTTCGTTATATACGACGGACGTTGGCGTAAAAAAAAGGAGAGGCGAAGAATAAGGACGAGAATAAAGGAAATGAAAATACGAAACGTAATATCGGATCGCATTCTTACCGGACGTTCGAATCCATTAGCGTTACACGATCTCTTTGAAAGGTGGACCTGTCCGGAATCACTTTGACACGCGATGCAGAGGCGTGATTTCATCCCCCGTGTAAGCGAAGACGACGGGAAAAAAAGAAAGCTACAATTCGAGAATCGGGGACGCGATTTCACGCGTCCTTCGTTTCGGTCGCGCCGAAACGGCGCATCTTCGCTCGATTCCCCGTTATTCGCGTCCATCTCGTAAAACGTTAACGAGACGTCGATAATTCGATCGCGGGGGAAGCGTACGTGGGTACATTTAGCCGCGTAAACACGCACCTGTCGAGCCTTTCACGGTCGACGGGAATTATTTTCTGCACCAGATACGAGATCGATCGCGCACCTCTTCACCCCTCGTTCATGGAGAGCAAACGACGGGCGAAAACGAGCCATCGACGAGAAATGATCCGCGATCGATAGTCGATAATTTACAGGAAACGAGGACTGGTAACGATGGGATCCGCCATATTTGACTTTCATGCGAAAAATGTGGCAATGCGAGAAATAGCTTGTTCTCGTTAATTTTGAAATGTGATAATAGAAAAATTTGTTATGTTAGGAATTTTAAAAATTTTAGGATCTGAAGGTTTAATGTAAATTAGGTTATGTTAGGTATATGTGGGGGTTACGTTTAATGTACTTTGTTGAAGAAGTAACTTATTATTATTATCGTTATTGATCTTATTATTATAATTATTATAATGTTATTATCATTATTAATCTTATTATTATTATATTGTTATCATTATTATTATCTACAAATTATTATTACGAATTTTATGTACTTGAAAATTTATAAATTTACAAATTTAAGAAATTTGAAAAATTTTGAAATTAACAATATGCATCCTCGTCCAAAATATATCCGCCTGAATGACCCCAGGTCATCCAAGGAAAGTTTTCACGCCGTTGTCCAAGCAAAAGTTTTCTGGGAAACATAATGAACATGTATTGTGTACATCTACCCCTGTAAAGGTCTCTAACACAGTTCAGGCATACAAGTAGACATTTCACCTTATAAATTTTTGTTTCACACGCAATTGCCCTACTGTTCTGACAAATTGGACTCATTTATCATTCCCTATCTGCAAACAGTAGTTAGTAGAATGTTATTTATCTTATACTTCTATCGCTTGTCTTTGAACACTTGATTGTTTGGATATTTAGTTAACATTCTTTGAGCTTAGGTTTGAGTAATGTTTGAATTAAATGAAATCTGTAACAGGTATCTAGAGCTATAGAAGCTAGGGTCAGAAAATTACATTGAATATATTCTGTGTTATGTTTGTAGCCTAATCTTTCCTTAGGTAGTAATAGAACTATCAGTCAAAATGTCTGCTTTTAGCTTCCTTCTTTAAATGGTGGAATTCTGTCACAATGTAATGTAAATGTAATTGTAAAAATATGAATTAATTTTTATAAAAATAAAGGATGATTACATATATTACTTCACCCTCTATTTATTTGCCCTTCTATTTTATTTTCAATTCAAAACTGTGCATCAACTGGTAGTTCCAGTGTTAACCACTTTAAGCTCTGCATCTTATATTAAATTTAAAGACTTGTAATGACTGTATAATTCATGTTTGTCTGTTTGTATGCATGTTTGTACTACAGTACACTACAAGTACAGTTCATTCACCTCAAGATGAGCTCTAGCAATTCAGGTAAATAGTATTTTTATAGAATGCTGTTGTAAACAATTAAAATTTACAATTGAATACTGCATAAGTTAAGAGAATAAAGAGATATATAAGTATAAACTAATCACTGTCATGTTCACCTTGTGGTCAACAAGCTACATGCTGAACTTGTTGAATTAAATGATAATCTTATAGTACTACTACAATAACCTTTTCATTTCTCAATACACCATTTTACTTGTTACAAGATTAACCCTTTGCACTATGAGCTTTGCACTTTGTCAGGTGCATCAGTTACAACTATTACAATACTAAAACCAACATGCTATGTCAATCTGGTATCATACAATAACTTATACAAACTACTTGTTCTTGAATTCCAAATTGAAGCATACTAAAAATTCCACTAAATCATGAAGACTACACAAAATAATGCAAAGGGTTAATCAAAAAGCTGTAACACTAAAACCAAGTAAAGGGATGCATCAAGGATTTTATTGGTCCTTCTGGCAATTAGTCGAAGCACCGAGGATCGGAACCGCGGCGCGTTGGCGAGCGTAATGGATTTCGGGGGCGCGTATGGCGCGTCGACGCGCGCGCGCTCTGCTTTGAACCCTCCTCGCGTCTCGCGGCGAATATCGTCGCCAGTTAACTCGTATATATTTGGACGAAACACGAGGAAGCACGTACACACGCGTCAACGCCTCATTTCGCTACTCCTCGACTCACGATGTCGAGCTACACTTCCTGCAAGGTTTCTTCGATTTTCGTACTCGCGATCGCGGTACTCTGGTTAGCGATTGCGTTTACACAGGTAACTTTTCTACTTCCTATACAATGATACAACCTACTGTACTGTGACTACACTTAACACTACATTGTACATTATACAATTTTTTTTTTAAATTATAAAGTAAACTAGTAAAGAATATAAAATATTAATGCACATTAATGTACTGTTATATTAATGTAATTGTATGTGTAAATGTATGTATTACTGTATGTATCATGCACACATTAATACATATTTATACATAAAATTATATAATGTATACATCATACATACAGTAATGTATACATTAATATAAACATTAATATACATGTATACATCAATATACATTAATGTACAGTTACATTTATACATAAAATTGAGAAATACAATTATATGATGTATACATCATACATACAGTAATGTATACATTAATATAAACATTAATATACATGTATACATCAATATACATTAATGTACAGTTACATTTATACATAAAATTAATAAATACAATTATATAATGTATACATCATATATACAGTAATGTATACATTAATATAAACATTAATACACATGTATACATCAATATACATTAATGTACAGTTACATTTATGCATAAAATTAATAAATACAATTATATAATGTATAAATCATACGTACAGTAATGTATACATTAATATAAACATTAATATACATGTATACATCAATATACATTAATGTACAGTTACATTTATACATAAAATTAATAAATACAATTATATAATGTATACATCATATATACAGTAATGTATACATTAATATAAACATTAATAGACAGTAAACGATGAAACATTAATGTACATTAATATACAGCAAACAATAAACATTAATCATCATAAATTTCTAGATAATCATCTCAAAAATATGTAGCTTTATATTTTCATTAGAAAAACTTTTATGAAACTATGACTCATTGACTGACTCCTTGTTAATGTTAAAAGGTACAAGATATTTATACAATTTAAACTTGAGCAACTACAATGTTCTACAACTGCATCATTCAATAAATATGTAATTGTATTCAGAAAGAAAGTAATGCATTTATATTTTACAACTGCATCATTCAACAAGTATGTATGCAATATTCAAAAAGAAAGTGATGCATTAATTTTTTTCAATTGCATATAACATTATTCTTAAAGATAACTGTACAAAGCTTCTACCTGTACCTTTCACAATAAAATAACAATTGTCTGCACCGTTTGTTTTTCAAAACGGAACATGTTCAAAGTTTCCCCGCGCGATCCACGCAAACGGGAATTTTCCCGTGATCGATCGAAGCATCGCGTGTTCGCAATCGGAAGCTACCATCTCTACTTTCGCGGTCACGCCTTTTTCCATAACACATCATAGCGTTTGTTTTACAGGTCGAAGCGAACGCATTACAACGCGATCTCTATGGACCCGTCAGCGGAGAATTCCTAGCTGGGTATTTCAACGATCACGGTAAGTAATTTCTCCCTACATTACGCATTCGTTTGACTCGTCCTCGCTTTCGTCCGCGCGCTGTTTCGTCGAACGCTTCGGTTGTCCCTGACGAAGAGGAATCTCTGGAGGCTTACAGTGTTGGTGAAGGTTGGGTCGGTGAAGGGTGTGTTCAAGAGAAATTCGATATCGGTAGTTGGACAATTTTAGGAAAGGCAACGAAATTCGTTGACGAAGACAATGGACAGATCAGAGACGATGCAAAGAGAGTCTCCTCCCGGTACTCCCGTAACGAAAGGGTCGATCGACTCGACAGGAATCTGGACCAGATCGGTGGCGGCAATCTGTTGAAACGGAGACTGGAAAGCGCGTACGAGCCCTTCTGGGTGTCTTCGCGGAGGAATCTAGATCAGATAGGCGGCGGAAATCTGCTGCGCAGCGTGGACGAACGCGTGAATCGCAATTTGGATCAGCTCGGAGGCGGAAATCTGGTGCGAAGCACCAGTCGCAGGAACTTGGACCAACTCGGGGGCGGCAATCTAGTGCGGAGCTTGGCGGAGTTCGCCAGCGAGCTGGGGTCGCGGTCGGGAAACTCTGACTCGTAAACTGTCATAACGTAGCAATCTTTACAGACAATAGATTTTCGTTGTAGTGCAGCGGCGCCGAATAAACTGATCGTACGATGTCCGCGTCTTTTTCTTTAACCTACGTGTTCCTTTCTAGCATACAGTATATGTAGGCCTGGAAACTTTTGGGAAGGTAGTCCTAATAAGAGACTTTATAAATTGTGTATGGACTAGAGAAAAATATGGCACCATGGTTGACAAAAATGTTAACCTCTATTGACTGATAAGGACTGCCCCTGACTCCTCTGAAAGGACTACCTCTAACTCTGAAAGGACTACCTTCATCACAGAAATTTCCACACCTCCTGATCTAACACGAGTTTCGATTTCGTTCAAGATGCGAAGGAAAGGGACGTCGGTAGAGGTCGAGATCCGGATTCGGATCGAGCCTCCGCAAGACGTAATTACATTCCACGCATGTTCGACCCCTCTTATGGGGCGAACTTTTTAGACGAGGCGAACGCTGACGATGCGCCGATCAACAGGTAAGCATAACCATAGACATGTACAGGTTACTTAAACAATATTCTGACAGTTTTGGATTGAACTGAACTTTTCATTATGATGTTGTCAAAGTAACTAACATTTTGTTTCATTACGTTTCATTGTTTCAGACAAGTTTAAAGAAGTCAGTAGTAGATCATTTCTATGATCATTTTATCAAATCATTTTTCTAAATCAACCTAACATTTTGTTCAATTATGTTTCATTATTTTAGACAAGTTTAGAGAAGTCAGTAGTAGATCATTTCTATGATCATTTTATCAAATCATTTTTCCAAATCAACCTAATATTTTGTTCAATTATGTTTCACTGTTTCAGACAAATTTAGAGAAGACAGTAGTAGATCATTTGCATAATCATTTTATCAAATCATTTTTCCAAATCAACCTAATATTTTGTTCAATTATGTTTCACTGTTTCAGACAAATTTAGAGAAGACAGTAGTAGATCATTTGCATAATCATTTTATCAAATCATTTTTCCAAATCAACCTAATATTTTGTTCAATTATGTTTCACTGTTTCAGACAAATTTAGAGAAGACAGTAGTAGATCATTTGCATAATCATTTTATCAAATCATTTTTCCAAATCAACCTAATATTTTGTTCAATTATGTTTCACTGTTTCAGACAAATTTAGAGAAGACAGTAGTAGATCATTTGCATAATCATTTTATCAAATCATTTTTCCAAATCAACCTAATATTTTGTTCAATTATGTTTCATTATTTTAGACAAGTTTAGAGAAGTCAGTAGTAGACAATTTCTATAATCATCCTTTTGATCATTTCTATGATCATATTCTATAATCACACATATATGATAAACAGGAAAGTTTCTCTACTTGTCAATCACTATTCTACATCAGACAGTTATCTCCACTCAATAAAAAATTCTCACTTGTAAAACAGTTCATAACAGTTGTAATTTCAGCTCTTCAACAGCTGCAATTTCTTTGACACAAGTCTGAACATTTCTACTTTAAATAAAAATAAATAAATGACATAAATTAAATTGCCAAATGGAGAAACTTTGCTGTACATATATATAACCTAACCTAACCATGTATTCTCATGTATCTATTTGCATATATATCAAATATACAGCACCATGTTTCTATATATTCTGTACTCTATGTCTATGGTTTATCCTTATTGTACTATAACCGTGCAAGTTGATACGTGAATTTGTTCACAGCAAATCATTCGACTTTCTTCCAAGCGACCGATCCTTACTCGAACCGTCTACCAAGCGCAACATCGACGAGATCGATCGCACGGCTTTCGATAACTTCTTCAAACGCAACTTCGCGAAGATGGATCGCGCCTCCTGGAACGAATTCGTCAAACGACTAGCCGACTACTTGGAAAGAAGAACGAGAACGAGAACGCACTACGCAGAAATGCTCGGATAATCGCGAGATCGACTACTCATCAACGGAACAGGTCTACGAAATTTCATCGCTTTTGTCCTTTCTTCCACGTTGAATTCAATATATAAATCTTATGAATTTCTTTTTATTCGTATCTCATTAACGAATTAGAGGGATCGTTTAACTGTCCAGTTACCGTTTTTCGCCGAGAAGTCGAACCTCGGGCATTGTGGAAATTCGAGCTCGGTCGGTAGTTTTTCGAGTGACAGTTTCCCGCGGAGTACACGCCGAAAATTTCGATAACGGATTCCGAGTAGTTCGATTTACAGAACCGATTTCCGCTTTGCTGGACCGCTTCGATTCCTTTGACCACTCAACTCCGTCCTCTGGGTCTTGCTCTTCCTCTTCTATTTTCCTTCTCTCGACTGCCGCGACGATCTTCTTGATCTCCTCGCTGACATCCATCGGCGTCTCGATCTTCACGCTTTCCCTGTTTCGATCCATGCGCACAAGCTAAAAAACGACACTATTATAACCTTAACCGAGATTACAATTTCATTCATAAATATCTTTTATAGAGAATAATCCTTTAGAGTGAAACAATCTTTTCTATAAAGGATTTCAACAATTTTCCATAATTCTCCTCTTTCTATAAAGTCCTTTCTCTACAGAGATTAGACGCACTTCGATCACGTTTTCCTCGAGGGTCGCGAATCGCTGTAGCACCGCCGCCAATTTCGTATTCTGCGTGGTTAATCGATCGGTAACTCGCAGTTCTTTCCCCACATCGTCTTTGATCTACAATTATACTTGTTAGTTCGGTTTTACCCCGTTTGGCGTACTTACCTCGTCCATTCCTCGAGCCACCTGTTCACCGATGTATTGGACGTTGTCGCGTGCCTGGCGAACCTATCGACAAAACGAACGTAAACGCTTTGGCCAACGATGCCGACGTCGAGTACATATACGTTACGATCGTGGTCAGTTCTTCCATCTCCGTCATCATCTTGCGTCGCGATCTTGTCGCAGCTAAAAACTAAGGACTCACATTATTTCGAGACTCTTTTTTGGTTATAATTTAACTTCCATGACTTACTCGTTGACAGACGTAGAGCAGTATCGCGATGTTCACGAACATGGCGATTGCGCTGCCGAACAGCTGATACATCGGTTGCATGGCTGAACACGAAGGGTCTTATCGCGATTTGATTCGATCATATTTCTTTTCCTTCCATTGCTGCTTTTGCGAATTTACCTGAAGTCGGTTAAACAAGAGACGAGCGTCTTCGTTTGCAGTCGGTTTCTATTTCCGGTTTCCGGTGCATAATGTGGAGTTTGGTACGCATGGTTTACGATCCCTCTTTCCTGATACTCTCCCGATCATCTCGATTGTACTTCGATGTCACCGATACATTGTATTTATTGAAGATATTACCAATAAAATACTTATTGAACGCATACGATTCTTTATTTACCTCTATCAGTTTATTTATTTGTTTGTTTATTTCAGCTTTGTACCTTTTTGTGTTTTTAAATGACAAGTGCAGCGCTCTCTGCGTATATAAATTATAACCTTAGACGCAGAAACGTATGCAAGCTTTATAACCTTTCAAATCCTTGTCAATCAGTTCATTCCTAAAAGTAAAAATAGTAGTATTTTTGGTGTACAATTTCAGTAGAGTTGATATACATATTTCCATACGTTTGATTAACAGCAGAGTTTCGTTCAATTGTTGCATACCATTCATTTTACGACTCTGTATGAAGCGCAGATCCATTTTTGTTCACCCGTGTTGTTTTGCGACCTGTACAAGATATTTATAAAATACATATCCTTTGATACATGTACGTACCGCGAGTAATAAAAATGTCATCGATCCATGTCACGAGACAGGGTAATCAAGCGCGATGTTTAGTGCGATGACGCACGATATAGATGTATTATACGTATTTACATACATTACTTGTAGCACTCATTGCAATATGCATCGAAATTGAAGTAGGAATCACCTGTAGGTGTTTTTCAAATCCATCCTCCTTTGTTAAAAGCTGTTGGTGAATCACAATAGCTTAGCTATTACTGCAAATAATAATCTTGTAAAATAAACTGCGAACGTTCAAGTTGAGAAGGTATTAAAATGCACTGATGTCCGTTATAAATGTTTACTATGGATTGCAAACAGAAAATAAATGTATCTACATACAAATAGTTCCTTGCTTTCTTACAAAGCTTGCTTGCTAGTCGAAATATCGATGTACAAATCAAATTAGCTCCATTTGGTTGTGTTTGGGGTTACTCCTGGTAACAGGATCGCAGGAAAGCGAAGAGGTATCCTAAAATGTCTCCCGCGCATTTGCGCGCATGCGCACTGAATTCAGACTGCGCCCGCCTATTCCAACATGGCGTCTCAATATACGAATTTAATAGCAGAGAATCATTAATTAATTACTACTCTCGTGACTATAATTTACGCACTTTTATGATAAAAAAATAATCTCTGATTAATTCCCTATTTTCTCATGCAAAATTTGTTAAGGTTTTATTCGAAAATAATTAATACGAGGTAGAAATTAATGATGATATTTATTAATTAATTGCTCATTTCCTAAGCATAATTCATGCACTTTTATGATCAGAAAATGATCTGTGATTCTTTATGTAATTTTTGGTGTATCATATGTTAACATTTTGTTAGGCTTAACGATGTTTTATTAATCGTTCATTTCTGAAAACTTTGTTAACAAAATTGCAATTTGGTCGCCATCTTGTCAATGGGTGTCTCGGGCTACCAGGAGTAATAGGATCACAGAAAAGTAGAAGAGGTATTCTAATACAAGCAGAACTGCGCATGCGCAGATCAAAGTATACGCGTGGGCGGGCCACCTTGTGCGCATGCGCAGATCAAAGTATACGCATAGGCGGGCCGCCTTGTGCGCATGCGCCACACGATATATAGAAACGCCATATTCCCACATTAATGAACAGAAAATATTTAATTACTAATTAACTGTAAACAATTCACGCACTTTTATTATCGGAAAATGAAGTTCGATTCAATACGAACCTATTCATATCGAATTTATTAACATTTTATTTGGGAATAAATTATTAAAATTGACGAAAGCAAGCGTTGCTCTGTACATCGACTCAGTTAAAGAAATATTAATAACTCGTTAAATCCGTACCAAATGTGCGCAAAAATGATCGAGTATCATTCAGAAAGAACAGAAGAAATTCTGTCAATCATAAAAGTTCATAAATGATGCTTAGAAAACGAGTAATCAGTGATTGAATTTTTTCCAATTAATGGTATATATACTGGTGTGACGTCACAGAGTAGCAGGAGCAAAAGCGCGGGAAACTCCGTATACCTCCTCGCTTTCCTGTGACCCTGCTACCAGGAGCAAGGTTCGAATCCCATCCGCTAGATGGCGCTGATCAAAAAAATTAATTTTTCCAGCCAAATTTAACCTCCTATCCCAGTGTCTTTTTTATCGAGAGTTCGATCACCTTATATATTCCTAATAAAAAATCGAAGTAAGTAGAATGGTTTTGTATGAAGTAAATATTGATTTTGCATTAATTTTAAAAGGGCTAAGCATTCGAAAATAGCGGGCAACATTGATATGACGCTAATGAGTGTTGTGGCACCACCGGTATCGAAGAGCTTGCGCACTATCGTTTCGAGTGCAGCGCTAACCACTCTGCGACTATTCCGCCCGAAGGATTGCCAAAAATATGCAAAAATATGAGAAACTCGAGAAAATAGGAGAAGGTAGGTGACCCTACTCTGTCGATATTTACGTCCGTTTAAAGCTCTGCGATAGATTTGACTCGGTCTCCTTAACGAAATCGACGTTGCGTTTCGAACACTTTGACAGCCGAACCGATGCGTTTGTTACGACTGTAGTTTCAAATTAATGTTATTCGTTCGATTTCAGGTACTTATGGAACCGTTTTTAAAGCCAAGAATCGCGAGACTCACGAAATCGTCGCGCTGAAGAGAGTACGATTAGACGAAGACGACGAAGTAAATTCATCAAACATACTATGGTAATTTGTCTTAAACTTGATTCTTCTACTTACCTTTTTCTCTTCTTCAGGGTGTACCATCGTCCGCACTCAGAGAGATTTGTCTATTGAAAGAATTGAAACACAAGAACATAGTCAGACTGTACGACGTGTTGCACAGCGACAGAAAGCTGATTTTAGTCTTCGAGCATTGTGATCAAGATTTGAAAAAGTATTTTGACAGTCTGAACGGAGAGATCGATTTGGATGTCGTTAAATCTTTTCTGTAAGCATAGATTCTCAGGAACTTGTGGAACTTTCCAAGATGTAACTTGGAACTTAACATCTGTATGGTCTTAAAATTATTACGTCTCTTGCAGGTATCAATTGTTACGTGGATTGGCATTTTGTCATAGCCGAAATGTATTGCATAGAGACCTTAAGCCCCAGAATTTACTCATTAACAAAGTAAGACTGTTAAACTAAGATTTCTACATGATTACAGTTAATTCTAATCATTATAATTTGTGCACTGTTTAATTCTAGAATGGAGAGTTGAAATTAGCTGACTTTGGATTAGCCAGAGCCTTTGGAATTCCAGTGAAATGTTACTCCGCGGAAGTGGTAACGCTATGGTACCGTCCTCCGGACGTTCTCTTTGGAGCGAAACTGTACACGACGTCCATTGACATGTGGAGTGCCGGATGTATATTTGCTGGTAGGTACCTGTAAAAGAAACTAAGGAAAAGACGCTCACACGTTTCGACCGTGCGCAGAACTAGCAAACGCCGGCAGACCATTGTTCCCTGGTTCGGACGTTGACGATCAGCTAAAGAGAATATTCAAGATGCTCGGCACGCCGACCGAAGAGACTTGGCCGGATTTCACCACTCTTCCCGACTACAAGCCCTTCCCGTTGTATCCTCCAGCTCAAGGATTGGCTCAAGTTACGCCGAAACTTAATTCGAGAGGCAGAGACTTATTACAAGTATGTCCTTGACAATCCAACCTAACCATATTACAAGTATGTCCTTGACTACCTAACCTAACCATATTATAAGTATGTCCTTGACTACCTAACTTAACCATATTACAAGTATGTCCTTGACAACCTAACTTAACCATATTACAAGTATGTCCTTGACAGCCTAACTTAACCATATTACAAATATGTCCTTGACAACCTAACTTAACCATATTACATGTCCTTGACAACCTAACCTAAGCATATTCCATGGTTGTAATTAACGAAAGATAATATTTCAGAGGTTACTGGTATGCAACCCAGCGCTACGATTATCGGCGGACGAAGCAATGGCGCATTCCTACTTCAACGATTTGAACCCTGCCATCAAAAACGATCGTTGTCAGTAGTGGATTTTAATAGTCTGGCCCCAACGAAAGCGCGCGTGGATAGCGCAGCGACCAAAATCACTCCGGCAAAGATCGTTTGTTAATAATATAAATTATATATATATAAATATTATTATAATTGTATATTTCGCAATCGATGCATCAGTCGTGACGCGAAATCGACGACGAGTCCTGTTTTATATGAGAATGCAAGAGGCATCAATAAATTGTCAATTTTATCATTGACGACGATTTTCTACCGAGGACGGTGCATTCGCCCCGTGTAAAACCAAAGAACTATCGAATTGCATTATATGCGCGTGGTCGCGTGTAATTATACGTACGTCCGTACGTTTGTTTGCTCATCAGTTTAGTCACAAAACGTTTCTGTATCAATTAATTAATTTATTTATTTATCATTTGTGAAATAAGTTACGAGTCGACCGATTAAATACATTTACTAAAAGCTAACAACGGATCCTTATTTAAACCTTTACATCGCGTCAAAATGAAATCTGTGCGCTTCTTGAAGCTTCTCGATTTTGTCCTCCCTTCTTTCTTTCCAGTACAATGCGACGATGATCAATGATATTAGACCGCAAGTTCCGGTCAACGCGGCGGCGCTCAATAAAATTAATTTGCTGGGAGTCACGAACAACTGCGCCTTCCACCTTGAAGGTTCAGCGATGGGGTTCGGTATCACCACCATCTGGGAGTTTGGAATGATCTGCGGCCACTCTCGGGACTTGCCACCGACCTGTCAAAGAAAAGACAAGGTTAATAGTCATCACGATACAAGGTCATTCAGCTGCTTACCCCAATGGTTAGACCGTCCACAAAGTTTGGCGTCCTGCCCAGACCAAAGGTAGTGTAGGGCAAATTAAGGGAAAAGTGAGCACTCTGCGGTAGCTGGGCAGCAATCGCGTTCCTAGGACTACCGTCTTGAGTGGTGGTCCGGTAGGCTATCGACGGACCAGGAAGATTCGTTCCGTAGGTTCTTTTCTTCTTGCCCAAAGAACCCGGAGAAATAGGATACAAGCTATTATTGCGGCCGGTGAGCACCATCACCTTGACAAAGTTCGCGTCATAGTCTAAACTATTCTTGAACGCCGCGGTGCGATACGCGTTGTTACTCTTATCGAGTTCCACCAAGATAACATCTAAGATACCGTCCTGATAGAAGTCGTAGAATACCGCCATCGCTGTTTCGTTGTGGAACGGGTTCAGTGCCTGCCATTTAACCTCGAATTTCCTACTGAAGCCATCGCAGGAGTCGCAGGCGACGTTCTCCAGTAGATAAGAACGCTTTTGCTTGCTGACGGTCGACTTCAGTGTCGCTAGGAGATCTGGGTAGCCGTCCATGTTGAAGTCGCCACCGCGAAGGGTTATGGTGTCGGTGTATCGTTGTCCGTCGGGCTTCACAAAGCCCCATAACACATTGTTACCGTCCCTCAAGTTCACTTGCAGGTTGTGCCACTTGTTCGAGTACATCATGATCGTGCTGTTGGTACATTGATCGTCGAAACAAAGAGGCAGAAGCAGGTCCATTTTCCCTGTCAACTCGACGTCCAAGTAAAGAGCTTGTCCGATCACCCCGTCGAAGTTGTGCAACGATATCTCATAGGGGAACGGGATGGAATAACGGTAGTCGAAGCCTTGGTCAATGCCCAGCCAAATTTCGAAGCGTGTGCTCGTGGTGACGACCAGGTCCGCTAAAAAATCGTTGTTCAGATCCAAATAGGCGTTAGAGTGAGGCTGACTGATGGATGAATTTGTTGGATGATTGGATGAGCTCATTGGTACACGCGTTGGTGGCCTCCTGCTTTGGTCGAACACCCAGAACATACTCTTGCCATTGTCGTCTAAGCCAAACAGATCAATTATCATGTCTCCGTTGTAGTCTAGAGCCAGTGGCTGCCCGATCATTTTGATCAGTGGTTTATCCGCATTCGTGCAATTCAGCCGACCATCTCCACCCCACAGTATGTGAACATACGACCGCTTATCTTCCTTGTCAAAGGTGATCACCAGTACATCCATAAAAACATCTCCATCAAAATCTCCAGGCACAACGCCTACGACAAGGCGTGAGAAGGTGCAGCTCAGGTTGGAGCTGGGCCTCAACAATGGCTCCTGTTCGGCAGCCAGGAAAATCTGAACTGTGGTCCCATTTTTACGCAGCATGAACACGTCGGTCAACTCGTCGGAGTTGAAGTCTCCGAATGCGGCTGGCATGCCATCGAGCACGTTCCCGAACACCGCTGAAGTAATGTCATTGCATCTGACGATGATCACGGCCGTAAAAACGTGGAGGATTATCAGTAGAACTTGCATTGTATCTGTGAAAGAAAACGTTTCTGTAAGAGAAATTCAAGACACTGCTGCTGATGTGCTGTTTATACACTGATGTAATATTCTTAATTACAATGGGATTTAGTATTTAATTAACTGCGCGTCTAACCTATAAAATTTGTGAAGTAAAAGTATGAGTCTGACCGATACAGAAAATCGGAGGCTGGAGATTTAAATGGTCTAATTGTTGACAGTGTTTATTAGATTCTAGATATTATTTAGAATAACTCACCGTTGTAAAAGTAACTCGTGCGCAACTTAACCAACTTCTTTTTCGGTCATTTCTGTTTTGACAGCTGATTCATAACCACCGCATCACCGCCCTCTACTTAGTGTTTGCGCCATCGAGAACCTCGGAGATTTACATATCTGCAAAGAAAGAAAATATTCAGTGACAGAAAGATTTTCAAGTTAGTTTTGCATAAAATAACAGAACGTTTATGTTTAAAATAATTTGTGATGTCAACGTATTCCGTGACGTCAGAGCGTGTCTTTATCGACGATAGGTATACGTTGAAATTGTACGTAAATCGTAACCTGCTAGATGTATCCACTAGATTAGAATTAGATTTGGATCATTTGTCCGAACAGGTTCTTATCTGTTTGCTATCTGGTTATCTAATTAAATGTGCCAGATCACGTATCATAAAAATAGGATTGATAAATGAATCTTCTTTCCGTCAGAAGATGCCGTGCTGATCGTCACAATGAGAAAATGTTAAAACATCGAGAGTAAAGAAGAATGTGGAAGTGTATCAAAGATATCTGGCAGTATCACGTGTTAATTTTTAAGGTTAACCAATGACACATGGGAGCGCTGTTCAGTCCAGCACAGTGTAGCACAGTCAAGTAACGGTCTTCTACTTAAGTGGACGTCTGTCATCCGACGTATTGTTGAGTAATCGAAAACTGATGGAACATTCACGTGCTGGAAAGTAGAAACGTCTATCCTCTTCCATTGTAAGTGACAAGAAGAAAGCCAAGATTTCTTTTAAATGTTCTTTCATTATTTTTGATTTATCGTTTTGATGTATAGACATTCGCGACAAAGCTATTACGCTTTGGATTTCCAAGCGAACTTTGATTGACAGATCTGTTAAATACGATTTCATTAATCGATGAATCACTACTGGCGATGGATTCGAGATGTCGAACGGTATTCGCGAAACTTTAAATTATGTATTTCGCTCGTTCTCGTACAGTTCGAATTTATTTCGTTTATTACTCTATTGAGAATCTTATCTGTTGCGTGAATGATATCTCGTAAAGATCCATGTGAAATCCGCCGGTCGTGGTAATCGTGAGTTGTAGAAATGACTTTCCCGAAATAAGCACGTGTAGATTAGATTACATCTGTACGAGGCATTGCTTGATTCTGATATGTGTCATAATTACCACCCGTAAATTATTATAAGCAGTGCTGAATACAAATTTTATTTTATTCTCGGGTATTCTTGTAACGCGTCAAGTATTACTTTTGCCAAATTTTCGTATGTTACATTTTTTTAGTTTAAAAACGATGTTATTGTTAAACAACAGTTTGTTAGTTCAGTTTGAACTGAACGAGTACGTGTTTTGAGGAAAAACTCGTAATATTTCCGTTTCATAAATAAGAGAAGAAATTGTACATTTTTTGTCTGTGAAAGAAAAGTATGCAGAAGTAGTAATTAGGTAATTTTCTTAACATGTATTTTTCTTGTTTAACATAAAAAAACTGTGATTATAATGACATTAAAAGCATGACCTTTGTTTTATAACAATCTCATTATGCTAATTGTATTATTAAATATTTATATTCCATGTCAAAATTTTATAAAATGTATTCATTATTTTTTTTTAATAAAAAACATTATCTCTTATCTCATTTTAAATATCCAATGGAAAAGTTCTATAAAAGCAAAATGATACAAATATCAAAAAAATTTCATATAAAATGTACAGAAAGTTTATTTATATAGCCTGATGATAATTATGAGTTTATCAATAATTAGCTTCTTAATTCCAGAATACATTTTGCATTTCTGAATTTGCCTTGATAACTTATCCTTGTGTAATTATCAAAACAAGTAGTCTTCATTCAAATTGATAAATAATTGTTTACCCTGCTATTGTATCTTATAAGGCTATACAGAATTTATTTTCTTATAAATTAAAAGAAAAAGTTGATTTTATGATCTTGATATGTTGATGTCATTATATAAATATATTATTACAAGTGCCGCAGAGACCTTCTTTCTTATCAGTTGATATAATTTATTTTCTTTCATGTGTCATTTATGCATGTTTTTACTTTCTAAAACAATGTATATTATGTTTACAAATAATGCAAATTGAAAATTTTACATTGTACATGTTTTTAATCATTTTTTATCTTGTTTCAGAGACTTGTAGAAAATATTAGTAAATGAATAATCAATTATCATGGATGGAAAAGTAAAAGCAGAAAGAAGGAAGAATCCTCGAGTAGGAGCAAATCCTCTTAGTATATTAACGTTTGCGTAAGTGTTGTGAAATTCATAGAAATTTCAGCCTTTTTTTTTGCTAGTCATTGACACGTAGAATCAAGGCAGTAAATAGGTATTACTGTGATATCTGATACCAAGAAAGATTCTGTACATAGAACAAAAATTATCTTGAATTCCCCAACTAAGTAAATAAATGAAGTTTACAATCTATTTATTGTTATCTATTAGTATTCTTAAGTAAAACTTTGTAGAGGAATTTTTTCTTTATCTTTAATCAATTACCATTGATATTAGTTACTTAAAAACAAAGATAAGGTATACACCTTGAAATATTTTGTATAGTCATTGATAAAGATAAGAAGAGACAAAATTATATCACGTTTATACTTAAATCAAATTAATCTGAAACGTTTTATATTTCTCTAACATTGCTTTTTTTAACTTTTATCAACAGGTTTACCTTGCCTATATTTTGGAGAGGCTGCCGCAAGGATCTAGAAATAACTGATTTATACAGACCTCTGAAAGAACATACAAGCGGTCATGTGGGTAAAAAAATATCAAAATTATGGGAAAAAGAATATAAAGCATACGAGAAGCAAAAATCACTTAACGAAGAAAAAGCCAGCAGTGATAAAAAGTATGATGTTAAAAAGAAACTGAAGGAGCCCAGTTTAGTAAAAATTCTTCTAAAATGTTTCGGTTGTCAGTTTGCGATATATGGATTAATTTTAGCAGTTTTAGAAATCTTTTTCAGGTACGTACAAAAACTGTGATATACTCTGTTACAATCTCTTACATAGAATTTTAAAAATCTATTTAATGTTTGTTCAGATCATTACAGCCTTTGTTTCTCGGTCTTCTTATCAAATACTACAGTAAGACGAGATCATACAATTTTTCTGACCCAGAAGTTTATGAAAGCGAAGATACGACCAAATTGTTAAGTCCCTTTTACCCTTGTGTATCCCAGATCTGCTAGTCCTTCAACCTTTATATTTTATGTGTCGTAGAGCTTCATTAATTTCCTCCTCTAAAATGTCTAAATGTATAGATTTGCTGTCTTTCTTTTAACATTGTAGCAGTAGTTGCATTGATTAGAAAATTGTTACATTACAAATATTCATATTGAACATGTTTTAACAATTTACTTTTGTTTCATATACAGAGTGATGCAGCCAATATTCCTTAGCCGACTTTTAAGCTACTACAGCAGTGACGTAGTAACAAAAGATGAGGCATACTGGTATGCAGGCGGTGTGGTCTTATGTTCAGGCGCATTAATATTTGTTATACACCCATACATGATGGGTGTACTTCACACGGGAATGAAAATGCGAGTGGCCTGCTGTACATTAATCTACAGAAAGGCTCTGAAACTTTCAAGAACAGCTTTAGGAGAAACGACAATTGGACAAGCAGTTAATCTTCTCTCCAACGATGTTAACAGATTTGATGTAGCAATTATACATCTACATTATTTGTGGATTGGACCACTAGAAACATTAATTATTACATATTTCATGTATACCGAAGTCGAAGTACCTGCTCTTCTTGGAGTTACGATTCTCTTATTGTTTATCCCTCTTCAAGGTATATCTCAGATACTAAAGTGATACTTGCCTTGTATATTTTTTATATTATTATCTTCTTTTAGGATATTTGGGTAAAAAGTCCTCCATATTCAGGCTGAAAACTGCTCTCAGAACGGATGAAAGGGTCCGATTAACTAACGAAATTATTACCGGTATTCAGGCAATCAAAATGTACACCTGGGAGAGACCCTTTAGCGCTTTAGTCGAAAAAGCAAGAAGGTATATATTTTTCAAACATTCTCTTATTATTTTATTCTAAATGTTTATGTTTGTAGGAGAGAAATCAGCGTCATACGAGCCATGTCTTTGATCAGAGGTGTCATTATGTCCTTCATCATGTTCACCACAAGAATGGCCCTCTTCGTTACTATTATAGCATACATTTTATATGGAAAAAAGATAACTGCCGAGAAAGTGTTCATGTTACAAGCGTACTACAACATTCTGCGTCAAACTATGACTGTTTATTTTCCGCAAGGTAAAAATCGAATAAATACTGATAAGAGTTGATTGAACCTAATCAGACCGTTCTTACAGGAATAACGCAAATGGCTGAACTGATGGTTTCCATAAAACGTTTGCAAAAATTCATGTTGTACGAGGAAATGGAGATTTCACAAAATACAGGACAAGATTACAAAACAGGATCAAAGGACGAAGAGAAGAGCAAAAATGACATCACTGTAGACAAAGAAGTAAACGATACTTCAAGAACTAACAATTGCGAAAATGATAACGTTATGTCAATAAAAAATGCTACTGCCAAATGGATCTCATACGAGCAAGAGGACACCTTGAAGAACATTACCATCGAAGCGAAACCGGGCGAGTTGATCGCCGTTGTCGGTCAAGTCGGTTCCGGAAAAAGCAGCTTACTTAATTTAATACTTAAAGAGTTACCCGTACAGTCGGGTAGTATACAGGTATATTACACTCATCTCTGTAACCACGTTTAACATTAACTAACCTAACCTAACCATTATATAGGTAAACGGAAAACTAGCGTACGCCAGTCAAGAGCCGTGGTTATTCGCCGGTTCCGTCAGACAGAACATACTCTTCGGAAGACAAATGGATCAATATCGATACGATCGAGTGGTCAGAGCGTGTCAATTGAAGAGAGACTTTAGTTTGTTACCGTACGGTGATAAGACGATCGTTGGTGAAAGAGGAATCAGCTTATCGGGCGGACAACGCGCTAGGTACGTAAACAATACACAACTATTTTATGAGTGTATTAACGGGTCAATTTGTACAGGATTAACTTGGCTAGAGCAGTGTACGCAGAGGCCGATATGTACTTACTAGATGATCCACTGAGCGCTGTGGATGCTCACGTTGGAAAGCACATGTTCGAAGAATGTGTGGAAAAGTACTTAAGAGGAAAGACTAGGATCATTGTTACTCATCAGCTGCAGTACTTAAGAAACGTCGATAGGATAATTGTGTTGAAGGACGGCGAAATACAGGCAGAAGGGTACATTCTTGTCCTTTAATGTACACTATTAACTTGTGTAAGTTAATTCATAGTATTCATGGTATTTTTCTTGCAGTACTTACGACGAGCTCGCCTCAATGGGAATAGACTTTGGAAGACTCCTGGAGAATCAACCAAACGACGAAGAGCAAAAGTCAGGGTCCGCTCCACCTAGCAGAAGCACTTCGCGAAATGCTAGTATCTCATCTTTAAGTTCCCTGAAGAGCAGCATCGCCGAGAAGGATGACCCAATAGAGGTGAGTATATTTATTCAAGGACGTTTAAGAACCAAATTGAACGTGTTCGTTAAATTAGGTAGCCGAGACTCGCTCGAAAGGTAAAGTTTCCGGCAAAGTGTACTCAGGATACTTCCTAGCAGCAGGAAACGGGTGCGTGATCGTTATAGTTGGTTTGCTCTGCGTTATGGCACAAGGATTAGCCAGCGGCAGCGACTTCTTTATCTCCCAGTGGGTCAACATGGAAGAAAAATACGTGAGTACCAGCTTCGCCTTTAAGTCTGAAATAGATGTTTAAATCTGAAATGTGTAAAGGTAAACGAAACGGAGGACGGGCTGGTAGAAGATTGGAAGGGACCCATTAGCCGCGAGATTTGCATGTACCTGTACAGCGCTCTAATCCTGCTGACCGTCATCATCACCTTAACACGTTCATTCTCCTTCTTCTCGGCGTGCATGAAAGCGTCTACCAGACTGCACGACCGCATGTTCCAATGCATCAGTCGCGCCACTATGCGTTTCTTCAACACCAACACGTCGGGGCGTGTATTAAATAGATTCTCGAAGGACATGGGTGCGGTAGACGAGGTGCTGCCAATGGCGTTAATCGATTGCGTACAAATTGGCTTATCGTTGTGCGGTATTATAATCGTGGTCGGTATAGCCAATCCATGGCTTATGATACCTACCGTGATCATAGGAGTAATTTTCTTCTATATTCGGGTTTTCTATCTGGCCACCAGTCGCAGCGTGAAGCGTCTCGAAGGAGTCAGTAAGTTCCCATAAATTTATTCTAGTATTTCTTGATTTTTAAGAAGAAAGCAAGCAATTATAACTGGGGTGACTGTTTCTAGCTCGTTCGCCGGTGTTCGCGCATCTCAGCGCAACACTGCAAGGATTACCGACGATAAGAGCGTTCGGGGCGCAAGAAATCCTCACGAAGGAGTTCGATCAACATCAAGACTTACACTCGTCGACGTGGTACGTATTCATAGCGTCTTCAAGAGCGTTTGCGTTCTGGCTGGACTTCTTCTGCGTCATCTACATCGGCTTGGTCACTATGAGTTTCTTAGTAATGTTCGACGCTACTTCTACGGAGGGCGGTAGTGTTGGACTCGCCATCACGCAAAGTATAGGCTTGACGGGTATGTTTCAATGGGGTATGCGACAAAGTACCGAGCTAGAAAATCAGATGACCTCCGTGGAGCGTGTGCTGGAGTACAGGTGAGTTACAGGTGAAATTACACCACATTTCAACGGTTCCTTGACCGAGCTACTGTTTTAGCAACGTGGAGAGCGAGCCTCCGCTAGAGAGCGCACCTGACAAGAAACCCAGGGAGACCTGGCCAGAGGAGGGTAAAATAGAATTCAAAAACGTGGCGCTGCGCTACGACCCTGCGGAAGCTCCCGTACTGAAGGATCTGAACTTCATAGTCTACCCTCAAGAGAAGATAGGAATCGTCGGCAGAACCGGCGCCGGAAAGTCCTCCTTAATCTCAGCGATCTTCCGCTTCGCGTTCCTCGAGGGTGCCATCGAGATCGACGGCGTGAACATCATAGAGATCGGTCTGCACGATCTGCGGTCCAAGATCAGCATAATTCCTCAAGAACCATTCCTCTTCTCGGGTTCTTTAAGAAAGAATCTAGACCCCTTCGACAACTACAACGACGACGTGCTCTGGCAAGCCTTGAGCGAGGTGGAGCTTAAGGAGATGGGTCTGGACGCTCACATCAACGAAGGTGGCTCTAACTTGAGCGTCGGACAGCGTCAGCTGGTTTGCTTGGCACGAGCCATCGTCAAGAACAATCCGATACTTATCCTCGACGAAGCTACGGCGAACGTCGATCCGCGAACGGACGAGCTCATCCAGAAGACGATCCGCCAGAAGTTTGCCAAGTGCACGGTGCTGACCATCGCTCATCGTCTCAACACCGTCATGGACAGCGATCGCATACTGGTGATGGACGCCGGTAGTGCTGTGGTAAGTTCAGAGCAAGAGCAAAGTGTTCTTCAGTACGCGAGTATGTCTCTAATACAATTTCTCATCTTAGGAGTTCGACGCCCCACACATTTTGATACAGAAGAGTTCAGGATACTTGAAGAGCATGATAAACGAGACTGGACCCGCCACGGCGGAAGTCCTGAGAGAAGTAGCCCGCCAGACTTACGAGAACCGTACATCCACTGCCCTCTAATGACTTTCAAACGCATTTCTTGGACTCTGCATTATAGGTTAAATTTTGTAGGTCTGTCGATAATCTTTTTGTACGATAATCGAACTTTAGCTAAGCGAAAGTCCTTCCGCTTTCGTGGATACAGTATTATCGATTTTTGTGAATGAAATCACTTTATATCTCGACGACGTTTCGTCGATAAAACTCCTTAAAGAGGCGTCATTTTGTTTTTTGCGCCGTGCCACAAGTAGGGATAACTTTACCTCGCTGTTAAGTGATTTTGGAGATGTTTATACGCGTCTTTCTTGTTCTCGTGTTGGTGCTATGCGAGTATGAGGCGGATGCCTTTACAAGTAGATATCGGTAACAATTTTATTAAACATCGAAGATTGTACTTGATCTTGTGTACATAATCGTTGAAAGAATTAGAAATCTTGTTTGTATCGCGTCGTTTGCTCGGTCTTACGTTAGATACATTGTATCTGTTACGTAAAGCAAAGCTAACGATAGCGTTGTCAGTGCAAACGGTAGTTTGCAAACAGTGCAAGCTTCAAAATTCATAAATCATTCATATTTGTCGTACAAGCATAACTGTTTGTAGAAAAAAAAAACAATTGCCTTATGTACAAGTGCCTATGTAATTTAATTATTGTAAATGAAAAATATAAATGCAGAGAATTTATCTTGCTAACGCCTCGTCTTTCTTTCAAGGTCAAAAGAAAACGCTTTCTGGAAATATAAATATTCTCGTTTATTAACGAACAATGTCTCGACGCGAGGAGAAACAGATCTGATTTTTTTTTGTCTTTTTTATTTGGTATATCGAGCCTTGTGAAACGCACAGACACGTTTAAAATGCTAACCGATTTCGCGACTATACAAAGTATAAAAAAAAGAGAAACTTGCGTGCATCTATCGTTAAAGTATACCTCCTATGTCTATACTCTGCTTACTCGGCTCGCAACAATTGCCCGGGGCCAGTTGCCCAAACACATTCTCGCGAGACAAGTACACTAGTGTATCGTAATACTGACAGTAAAGAGAGATTACTATACGTTAAAAATTAAGCTCAACGATCCGTCTGTAACACCTAAAATACAATTATATAACGGCTAGGTTACAACGTGGTTACAGATAATTACACGCTAGGATTAGAGTTAGAATTACAGGATGTTATACTCGCCGGATACAATTCTCTAAGTCTATGCAATAGTAACACCTTTAAATAACGGTATAAAAACTGATACATGTATGTATACACATAGATACGATCCTTTTTCCCTTTACACGTATATACAAAACATTATAAAACATTTACGTTCATTCTTTATGCACGCATTCGTAAAATTAGGAAAGGAAACTGTGCAAATCTAAAAAAAATTTATAAAAAGATATAAATAATACTAGCTAAATAAATAAGGTGAGAGCACCGTATATACAGAGAGACACTCGCTCGCAACGATCGATGACGTCACACTGGCAACGAGATATCGCTGCGCTCGAAACGTGCTCGCGAGAAGGAAGACTGCGCATTGGCCGTTTCCATTTTTCGAATTTCGCGAATGCTCGATTTTACAACTGAAATAATTAGCTGCCTCGAGAACGCATTTCTGGCTGTCAGCTGCGAGAAATCGCGTGTGAGATTCGACAGGAAACGGATTGGCGTCGCGCACCTTTATTATGCTACAATAAAGTCTTTTACAAGCGTTTCGTCGCGCAATGGCGGTTCGTCAGTAACCAGATCAAAGACACGCATCTAAAAGCGGTTCTCGAACATTCTTAAACGTCACGAGACGCACGGGAACGCAAGCTATTTTACCGTATTTTTATATCGCGTCCGATCATTTCGCGTAAAACATTCGATCGAAATTACCTGTCGAGGTTATGATGCTTCGTTCGAATTCTCTTCCGTTTCGATGCGAGATTCTTTCAAACTCGGCCACCGAGACACAAATAAACACCAATTATCGTATAAAATTACGTTTCGCGGTTAAAATGCATACGAGTAAACGCGAAACGCCGGTTCGAACGAACTTCGAACGATAACGCGCGTCGGCGGCCATGACACTTGCGGTTCTCGAACCGCGCTCGACTATCGAACTACTCACAGAGCGCGGGAATATTTAAACCTTATCACGCTGACTGCCACCCTAATTTTCAATTACATCTTGTATAAATGTTTCCAAATACTTTCACAATATATTATTACATTTATTTTCTACAGATCTATATAATTAATTTATTTTCACAGATTTATTAACGCGAGAATTTTTCATTGGGAAAGTGCATTTTTAACAAATACACAAGTTCTATCAATAACTTAAGTATCAATTTAAGTGTCACTCATATGCGAGTGATGTGGCAGTCATCGCATGCGTTTATAAAACGCCGTAACTGTTTCAAGCAGCGGTCAATTTGCGCGCGAAAATTCAAACTTCCCACAGGACTTTCCCGTTGGTTTTCGAATTAAACGAGGACCTCGAGGCTCTCCCGCGACCGAGCCTTCTGTTGTCCGCATTTCCCGTTCGCCTGCACGATCATGGCGACGGACTGGCAGTTTTCGGAGCTGATTGGCCGAACGGGCGGCATCGCCAATCGAAGTTTGTACCAGAACTTCTTCCCGCCGGACGCGGGAACGTTTTCGTTCCATTTCAAAATGGTGAGGCGGTCGAGTGAGGGCTCCTCGCAGCCCCGAGTCGATCTCTTCGCGATCGTGGTCGCGTTAGGTAGTTTCTTCGTGACGATGACTATCGTTCGCACGGAGAAGGACAGTTGTTTGAGGACGGCACCTACAGTGCTCTCGTTCCAGGCGTTGCCTAACGAGTCGGGGCTGAGGACGACGATGACCCTTCGGCTCGCTGCGACGTGCGGTCCGATCTCCAATCCCCCTGCAAAATATTTTCTTTTAGTACAAATTTTGCGAGGGAAGTGCGAATTCTCTCCGTAAAAATTTTATTCTCACTACTGGGGGGATCCCCTCGAAATCAGTCAAGAAACACGATCAGTCGTTGAAACGACGAGGATCGAATATCGGTGAGACACATACAAGCAAAGGAAAGATTGCAACTTTCTTATTTCTTACTATTTTTTCATGAAACTTTTACTGTCGTATTTGTCTAGTTTTCCTGATTAAAATGACACCAGACATGATATAATTACGTTAACAATTGCGTGTGTAACGAGTGATTCAAGTTTTTAACATGAAAGAGGACGGCGAAGGGGAAAGAAAGAGAGGCAGAAGGTTGAAGCGTTCGGCAAACACGAAAGACTCGTGCGTGTTCTGTCTTTTAAATTAAAAAATCAAAATTCTTTATTTTTGCTTTTTCGTCAATGGAACTTTTACCATCTTTGTCTCGTTTTTCTGATTAAAATGACACCAAACGCGATATGATCACGATCGTAATTACTTATGTAGCAAGCCATAAAAGTTTCGGGCTTTCACACTTACGGCAAACTTTACATTTACGGCAGAGAATTCCTCCTAACGGCTTGCTATACAAGTAACTATGATTTTAATTATACCGTGTTTGGTAGCATTTTAATCACAAAAACGGGACGAATACGATAATCAAAGCTTCATTCACGAAAAGCAAAAATAAAGAATTTTGATTTTTGAATTTAAAAGACAGAACACGCACGAGTCTTTCACGTTTGCC